AATTGGAATAATTGTCACATTTTTTTCACAGCTTTAAAATTATATATTATATTATATATAATTTTAATAATTACTTATTTGTACGATAATATATTCAAGATTAATATATTTTTTAATACCTAAGGAATGTATTACAACGTGTTTAAAAATCTTACATCCACTTTTTTAAAAAAACCATTGAAAAATTGTAACGATCGGTCCTAATCTCCCCGATTTCTCATAATATGACAGTCGCATACACGCGCGTATTTCTCTAAATTAAAATTCTTAATTATAAATTTTAACAACAATGTTTTATTGCAATTTAAACATAATATCTGTTATATTATTTAGTACCCACTCCAGTCGAAGCTGTTGAAGTGACGTTACGTTTCCCCGGTCGATTTCTCGCCAACGACGAGAAGCGATTCGCTCGAGAGGCCGAGAATTTTCTGCATGAACTAGGTGCGAGACTCCGAAAAGACATACGAGTAGAAATCAATCAGGATTCGGCAATCTTGAGTTTCGAGATTGTCGGCACGAACAAAGTAGACGTGGCGTTCCATTTGGAAGAGCTCACGCGAATTCAGAAGTTATCCTTGCTGGGTTCGTCTGCGGATGCGACGACTTCACGTTTTACGCATCGCTCTGTACCTATGGCAACGCAGAGCCGGATTGTCACACTGGAACAACGTGAGATCCTCACGCAAATGGAATCGCCGTTTTATCAAACAGCTACGATCGTGCTCGCAGCGAGCAGCGCCTTCATTATTAGTAGTCTCGTTATTCTACTAATGTTGTACCGCAAAAAGGTAGGAACTTTTAAAATTTCGCTGAAGATATTAACTCTTTAGAACAGTGAGGGTTTAAGCAAAGATGGCCATAATTGAATTGTGAAATGGAAGTAGATCGATACATAATGATTGATGTACATGCGTCTTTCTTAATTGTTTCTCATCTTTGTGCTTAGGTTGTGCTTGACTCTATTGAATCCATTCAATATATTATATTCTTTATGTTATATTTGCAAATTTGAATTATTGTTATTGAAGTAAATTTAGTATTTACGTATATATGTACTTATTTTATGAGTTATATTGTTTTGGTTCTTTAAATTCAATCAGTTTTTAATTAATACAAATTAAATGAGTTTCATGAATCCAATTTTAATAACAGTGTTACAAATGATTATTATCATATTATTTTCAGAGTATTAAATATCTTATGTTTAGTCTTAGTCAATCTAAATGTACATGGAAAGAACGATTTTGTTGAAGTATCTAAAAATTTAGCTAGATATAGACTTAAAAATAATTTTGTTGGGCCATCTTAATAATTCGATAGGAATCTCAAGCGTGACGAGTATAATATTGCAAAAAGTTTTGACATTCTAAAGTAGCCTACATAATAATTTTTGATGGTCTAAAAAAATTATTTTTAAATTTATATCTAGCTAAATTTTTAAATATTTTAATAAAACTGTCTTTTCCATGTATCAATTATATCTTAATCTGAGTTTCATTTAATATATTTTTAACATCGTTGAGAATTATTTATGATACGACTATCATTAAATTTTCTAAATAAATCTTGTAGATGAAGCTAAAGGATCCCTCGAAAATGTTTCCAATGGATCAACACTTCCTCGCTTATAATCAACAGCCGGTTTACGTGATATCAGGATCGGAGCAGAATGAGAAAGAAAAGGAAGCTGCGGCACAGCAGAAGCTAGAGAATATTCATACATCGGACACTATTGTCGGAGCATAAAACGATTCGCTTTTTACATAGATAATTTCCATCTTGTACGATAGTGATTCTTAAATTTCTTTTTCCAGGTGTACTCAAATTATAACAATCGATAATTCTTTAATTTTTATACCTTTTTCTATATCTGTAACATTTTTTTTTATACGCGAGACGTATAATATAATTGGTAAGGGGATAATTTCTCGTAAAAACATATATTAAAAGTATAGAAAAAAATTTTTTTAGTATGATTGTTTAGTTTAAAAAAATGTTTGTTTAAAAAATATTAAATGTTTGCTAAGAATATTAAACAATTAAGAACATGTTTTTATGTTTTTACAACTTTGAATATGTTTGATATGTCTTATATACATAACTGAATTTATTCTTAACTATTAGCGATTAATAAATAAAAGCTCACAAATCATAAGTGCAACCTGGAAAAGTGAAGTAATGTCGTACATGGTATAGTATACATCGTAATCAAAACAATGTCATGATATTTCACTGTCGATATTTCGTCCTAATTTATTGTCCACGAGATTCATCATTACGGTCCAGACTTGACGATCAAACGAATGCATGCGACATTGGATCCGGTGTTCATACATCTGACTATATAGATTCTATAAAGACAACTATTAAAGACTTGTTCGACATTATTTATATAATGTAAATTTACATAATGTAAATCATTTGTAAATTTATTAAGTGATTTTGACAAAATATAGAGGATGATTCAGAAATGTAATCTATTTTTTTAAAGTTTAAAACATAAAATAACGATTTTTTTGTGAAATCGGAAACATTTACTCGCGAATAATGAATTTATCGACGGACATTTGTTTGATCGTCGAGGATATAGGTATGGGAAATGATTTTATTATATTTTCATTGATATTTGTCTTCATTACCTCTTTGATGTGTGAATCATTAACGCAAGATTGTCCTGGGTTTAAAAATCCTGAGAAATCATTACGTTAATACGTCCATACAATTGTAAATAGATTATTATATTTATAGATTTATACTGTGTTCGATTATATATATTTATATAGACTAATAAAGATCGAAATTCTCCTGTTTTTCAATAATAAGAACATTGTCCCAACCGACAATTTTAGCACATGAAAACCAGTCTCCAAAATTAACATAAATTTGATTCCGAACGATTTCGGTTTATGGAATATTAAAGACATTTTTGAACAAAATGAATGGTGTGAAGTAAGTATTTAACCTTTAATACACATGTCTGGGTCATTCATGTTCTGCGCATTTCTTTCACTTCTGGGTCATTTGTTCATCCAGAGGTGAACTTCAAAGTTCCAGTTAAAGGATACGCACGAAAAGCCGACGCACAAAATTTATTTTTTAGATACCAAACTTTTTTTAAGAATAGAAAAAAAACCGGTATTTGACCAGGTGCTCTTAGTATTTCAAAAAACAGAAATGGGCAGAACACGAATGATTTAAAGGTGTGTATTAAGGATTAAAAATGATTAAGTAAATTGCATATAATAATTAAAATTTGCTTTTTACTAAATTAATAAATATTTAACTTATGTCAGCTATTTAAAATCAAGCAAACTTCATATCAATGCTCAAACTTTCGACGAACCACAATATTTGAAATCATAACTGTTCGAAAAAATGTCCGCAATATCCGAAAAAATATTAACACACTGATTTACGCTTTGCGACAATCGCTCATGTTGAACTCGACACTCCCGACGCGTCCGAATCCGAGATACGTTTTTATGAAATTCGAAAGACGACAATAACTTTACATCAATATCCAAAACTCGACGCGCCAACTGCAACGTCCGACGCAACGCAATAGGGCAGAATTCCAATTGCGTTTGACCATCGCACGTACAAATTTGTGCTAATTTATGCTACGACAATTACTCACTGCCAAATTCAACACTCCCGATGCGCTAAATACCTGTTCAAGATGCTCGAAAGATCGCAGCAACTTCACTCTGATTCTAGAATTCGAGAAGTTCGACGCACCAACGGCCAACAGTCCGATCAGAGCAACGCCATAGAATCGTGAAATACGGATCATTTGGCAGTCTCACGTATTAATTTATGCTCCATAATAATTCTTCGACACTAATAGTACACTACAGAAAGTTAGGAACCAGTAAGACCACGGCACTTCACTCCGATGCTTCGAGCGAGCCAATTTATTAATCGCCGGTTAACAAGAATAGATTCGCACACGTTATTCCACGACAATCATTCGCCAGATTTTATGTCCCGACAATCCTACAATATTCATTCCTCATACGAAACTCGTTCTGAACGGAAAAAATACGTACGAAACATGGAACGACGCAAAACGCGTCAAACATATACCAACGCCTGCCAGGTAGTGCCAAGCAGTGCCGAGTCGCCCAGCTAACTGACGAGATGTGACGCGCAATAGACTATGTGACGTCACCACGTGCGTCGTACGATAATCATGACCGTTAACATTTTCAAAAAAACGGTCGCCGTGTTTTCGCATCGCTAAGCCGTGCATTAATCAACTGTTACCACATTTCTATCGTCTTATTCTATGGTTTATCTTACATATCAGATAGTGGATATGAACGATGTGTTGATCGTTCATTTATACTATTCGAATCTGCCCAAGCAAAACAAGTTATAACATTAAAATGATTATTAAAAGACATTTTTAAATTATTTCCGATTCGTTTTAATCTTTATAGTACACATGTTAATTTTTGGCATCCTTAATTCACTCGTTCGGTCATTCATGTCCTGGCTTAATTTCCATCCTTTACAAGTATATATAAATTATTAAATAATTTTTATATATATTTTGACATCTTTAGAAAGTATTTGTGCAATTATATAATAAATTGTAGATAAATTATTGTAACTAAATATAGTCACACTTCGTCAGTTAGCTGGGCGACCCGACATTGCCTGATACTGCCTGGTACGGCCGACGCGCAATAGACTCTGTGACGTCATTACGTGCGTCGTACGATAATCATGACCGTTAATATTTTCAAAAAAACGGTCGCCGTGTCTTCGCATCGCTAAGCCGTGCTTAATTAACTGTTACCATATTTCGTCTTATTCTATGGTTTATCTTACATATCAAATAATGGATGTGAACGATGTGTCGATCGTTCATTTATACTATTCGAATCTGTCCAAGCAAAACAAGTTATAATATTAAAATGATTATTAAAAGACATTTTTAAATTATTTCCGATTCGTTTTAATCTTTATAGTACACATGTTAATTTTTGGCATCCTTAATTCACTCGTTCGGTCATTCATGTCCTGGCTTAATTTCCATCCTTTACAAGTATATATAAATTATTAAATAATTTTTATATATATTTTGACATCTTTAGAAAGTATTTGTGCAGTTATATAATAAATTGTAGATAAATTGTTGTAACTAAATATAGTCATTAGAGTCATTTTAATATTATAACTTGTTGTTCTGCTTGGGCAGATTCGAATATATATATATATATAGTATAAATGAACGATCGACACATCGTTCACATCCATTATTTGATATGTAAGATAAACCATAGAATAAGACGAAATATGGTAACAGTTAATTAAGCACGGCTTAGCGATGCGAAGACACGGCGACCGTTTTTTTGAAAATATTAACGGTCATGATTATCGTACGACGCACGTAATGACGTCACAGAGTCTATTGCGCGTCGGCCGTACCAGGCAGTATCAGGCAGTGCCGGGCAGTCGCCCAGCTAACTGACGAAGTGTGACTATATGATATAGTATAAATGAACGATCGACACATTCATTATCTGATATGTAAGATAAACCATAGAATAAGACGATAGAAATATGGTAACAGTTAATTAATACACGACGACTTAATGATGCGAAAACACGACCGTTTTTTTGAAAATGTTAACGGTCATGATTATCGTACGACGCACGTGATGACGTCACAGAATCTATTGCGCGTCACACCTCGTCAGTTAGCTGAGCGACCCGGCACTGCCTGGCACTACTCGGTACGCGCTGGTACGTGCTTGACGTGTTTTGCGTCGTTCCGTGTTTCGTGCGTATTTTTTCCGTTCAGAACGAGTTTCGATGAATGTTGTAGGACATAAAATCTGGCGATAAATGATTGTCGTGGAGATCGCGTGCAAATCTATTCTTGTTAATCGCGAATCGTTGGCTCGCTCGAAGCATCGGAGTGAAGTGCCGCGGTCTTACTGGTTCCTGACTTCCTGTAGTGTACTATTAGAAGTGTCGAAGAATTATTATGGAGCATAAATTAGTACGTGAGACTGCTAAATGATCCGTATTTCACGATCCTGTGGCGTTGCTTTGATCGAGCTGTTGGCCGTTGGTGCGTCGAAACTTTTCGAATTCTAGAATCAGAGTGAAGTTGCTGCGATCTTTCGAGCGTCTTGAACAGGTATTTAGCGCATCGGGAGTGTTGAATCTGGCAGTGAGTAATTGTCGTAGCATAAATTAGCACAAATTTGTACGTGCGATGGTCAAACGCAATTTGAATTCCGCCCTATTGCGTCGGACGTTGCAGTTGGCGCGTCGAAACTTCGAGTATCGGCGTAAAGTTATTATCGTCTTTTGAATTTCATAAAGATGTATCTCGGATTCGGACGCGTCGGGAGTGTCGAGTTCAATAATGAGCGGTTGTCGCAAAGCAGTTGTCGTAAATCAGTTAACATTTTTTCGGACATTGTGAGTTTCGAAGAGTGATTTCGGATATTCGTGGTTCGTCGAAAATTCGAACATTGATATGAAGTTTGCTTGATTTTAAATAGACATTGATAAGTTGATTATTTATTAATTTAGTAAAAAGCAAATTTTAATTATTATATACAATTTATTTAATCATTTTTAGCCCTTAATACACACCTTTGAGTCATTCCTGCCCATTTCTGTTTTTTGAAATATTAAGAGCACCTGATCAAATACCGGTTCTTCTTTTCTTTTTTCTATTCTTTTTTCTATTCCTAAAAAAAATTTGGCATCTAAAAAATAAATTTTGTGCGTCGGTCTCAATTCCTTTAACTTCGAAGTTCACTTCTGGGTCACAAATGATCCTAGATGTGTGCAGAGTGTACATTTTCTGTAAAAAAAATTTTTTTTTTTTCTTGAAAACTAATTCTTGATTGTATTGCGAGAATATTTCGCGAATTATTAAAAAAAGAATTTAAAACAACATATCAGCTCTTAATAAACGCTATTTTTGGTACTCTTGTTCTGAATGTTGTCAGTAATATGATATATTGTGATATGCTGTGTGTAATGTTACAAAAAACATTTTCCTAATAAATTACAAATTCTTTTAACATAATAGCAATAATAAAATGTATTGTTTTACAATGTAAATGCAATATATCTTCAATTTATAGCCACTCGTGTATATTAAAAAAACATTATTTTCAGATTATTTAATAATTTAAACTTTTTGGAAGGCCGACACTTGAACTAATTTTTTTTTAGTAGTAGTTTGGAATGTCAATTTTAAGATACTGAACCATACTTTTTCTTTAAACATTTTTGTTTCAGAGTTTTATATTTTTATATGAAACAGTTCATTTTTCTGATTTCGTTAACTATATTTAATTATAACAATTTATCTACATTTTGTTATGAATATATAACTGCACAAATATTTTCTAAAGATATCAAAATATATGTAACAATTGTTTAATAATTTATATATACTAAAAGTAATGAAAATTAAGCCAAGATACAAATGAACATGTATATTAAGGATATCCAAACTAACGTGTGTAAGGATTAATTATTATATACAATTTATTTAATCATCTTTAATTTTTTTTAATTCTTTTTAGAGTTTTGCACAAATAAATTGATATAAAGTGTCTTAACTTTTATTAAAGATACTCTATATTCGACAGCTGTACATCAATAAATTGGACAAATTGATTTACCTGGCATTTTGTAAATAGTCGTTGCGAATCGATGATCTGCAAGGATTCGCCTGCATATTAGAATGTTGATGAAAGTGTAATATTCTCACAGGTAGTTAACGGAGGACATGGTGTTGTAAAACATGCCCGCATTTGTAGCATACATATCTTGTTTTTTGGACATTCAACGTTGGAACACGGATCCCAGCACTTGCACGTTTGACAGCCGGTGACTTCATCGGTCTATCAAAAACGTTGGATTTTTCAATAACAGTATTTAAAAATTTTTATGTAAAACACATAACAAATCAAGATTATTTTATGTAAAGAAAGAATCTAGTTTAAAAATACACACGTTAATATACACGTTTCGGTCATGCGTGTCTTGGCTTAATTTTCATCACTTTTACGAATATATAAATTATTAAACAATTGTTACATATATAATTGTTACATATATTTTGACTTTAGAAAATATTTGTGCAGTTATATATTCATAACAAAATGTAGATAAATTATTATAACTAAATATAGTTAACGAAATCAGAAAAATGAATTGTTTCATATAAAAATATAAAATTCTATTTAAAAATACACAAATTTTTTTTTATATCTCTATATACAGAGTGTCTCATTTTTAGTAAGTTCTATCAATTTTCTTCAGAATTATTAATAGTATAAAAAATGTTTTAGAAATGTTTAGAAATGTAACGAAAGAAAATGAATGTATAATTGTGTTATTTCTTACATATAAACAGACCGAAGAATTACATATAAATACTGCATCTAAAATATATTTCTTATATTATTTATATCTTTGTGGACAAATTGAAGTCAAACTACTAAAGAGAATATTTTTTTTTAATGAATTTAATTGATCCAATATCTGTTATTAACTTAGAAGAATTAGTAATTCGTCACTGATTTTCTCATTTTATTCCCTCTTTATCCTATTTGTGATTACATATTTTCAATAATGATAATAAATTTATATTAAATATGCTAAGTCTAAAGTATAATTATATATATAGTAAATATATACATACTTCATGATTGAATCCCCAGCGGCATATCATTATGGGACACATGATAGGTGGGCACGTCTCGTTTGTAGCATTCTTGCTAGTCATACTAGTGTCAATCTCATCGATGATCGGCTCTGCCATCATAAATTAATTCGTAAATAATGGAACTCTGTTTTCGTATAAACATAATGAAAGCAAGACATTAAAATAACGAAAGAATAATTAAAAGACGATTAAGGATAACGACACAATAATTTATGCACAATGGATTTTCATTATATTAATATATTTACTTTATGATTATACAAATATATTGAAAAATTGAATAAAATGAAAATTTGGACTTTATTTCAAGCTATTTTAAGCGATATCTGATAATTATTCCATATTTTCGTGCTTTCGGCATACATTAGAGAAAATATTTTTTGAATCTCTTTTAAGAAGTGCCTTTTATATTCATTATAGTTAAATTAACATAATCAATTCAAATCAAAAGACAAAATCACAATATGAAGTTTCGATGATGTAGATACAATACTTAAGACCGTCTTCAGACAATATGGTCGACGTATACGCCAACTTCGCAAACATTTGTTAAATATTGATCAATACATTCAATATAAATAATTATGTCATGTATGTGTATGATATTTGCTTATGTTGATATATATTTATCAAATCGTCGGGAGGCTCCTTTATAGAAGAAAATAACGTAATGAAGAATAAATTATTGCGACAGTCGTTACGATGAAAGCTTATCATTAAAATAAAACTGATAAGAGAGAGCCTATGTCTTATTTTAATGATAAAATTTTTTAAAAAAATTATGAAAGTTTTTTCATATTCTTATTTCTTTCTTACTCTTTTTGTATTATTATGGAGAAAGAAAAATATATAATTACAGACTTTTTTGTGCAAATTAAAGAATAATATATGGTTAATGTATAATAATAATGTTAAAAATTTTTTTCTCTTGTATCAATTTTTTAATACAAAATATATTTATGAGAGATAGGAGCGCTAAATTGAAGATGCGTTACCGAATAAATTTTTAATGCAATTTCTCTATTTATTTCCTTGTCCTTTTGCAATAAATTGACACAAGAAAAAAAAGATTTTTAAATGTATATTTTTCCATTTGCATAAAAAATAAAATTTACTATATATTGTTTTCTCGGGTATATGAAAAATCGAGTTTTTGAACACTTTCTGACAAAAGTGTAGGACAATGACAATGATAATAAAAATAGCTTCAGTCAATAAATATCGACTTCTCGGTATCCTATTTATTAACTTAATTATCATTTTATCATTCTTATTATACGTATCTAATATGTGATAGCGTTTCAAAGCGGTATCATAAGCGAATACTTCTAAGTAACTCAAAGAAGAAAACATGAAATATATAACAAATGACAATTTATTAAAACAAAAGAATATATGAAAATTATATAATATAATTTTGATAAAGTAATGATTTGATTTCGATTTCAATCTTTTTGTTATGTTAACTTTTGATTAATAGCAGGAAATTAAAAAAATCGGAATTAAAAAATCAGTAATGATTGCTTTTTATAAGATTTCGCCATTAATGTTGGAAAGAATTAGAGTAAGTAGAAAAACAAGGTTGTTACTTTAATTTGAAAGCCGACTCTTATAAGCAAAAAGTAAACTTTTCACTTTAATTATCAGAATAAGAGCGGTCCCGTGCAGGTATTTAAAAATTATATTTAAATCTGACGTTGCTCAAATCAAAATGCACAATAAAAATGACTATTCATTTTTAAATGTTATTTTATAACGATTGTTTTATCTGCTTGTTAAGTTTTATTGTTTGTGTGCTTGTTAAGCTTTACGTTTACGTTTTACATTGGACGGAAATGTGTCTAATTAGCAAAGAGTAGATAATGAAACGCTAAATAAAATAGAAGAATAGAGAACGTACTGGCGATGATCATTGTTGCTAGCGAGAGGATGAACAGCAGACAAGCCAATGACAGCCACACAACGGCGCAAGTAAGTCCATTGTTATAGAAATTACGGCGCATTTTCATTGCATTAAATAATTTTTGAGTCAATTACTATTACCTAGAATAGTGATAATTATCTCATGATTAAAACACAAACTCCAGCGAGAATAGAATGAAACTTTATCCTTTGTTTTAACGAAACGAATTTTTCTTTTTAATGATAAAATTTTATTACATTATATCAGCCTCTGAAAAGTCTTTGAATTTGGAATGTAGTGAGGAGACATGAATAATGCAACGAGATAGATATATGGCTGAGATATGCTGTCGACGGAAACATGACTCTAGGTATTGTAATAAACGCGATTGACAAACGCAGAAGATTACTCTATTCCTGAAATTTCGATGTTCTTGAGATTCTCAAGATTCTTTTATTTCATGATATGAAATATAATGGAGAGAATACGAAATTAATTTTTATTCGAAGTAGCTTACAGCTGCATATAAGCTACTATTCGATTTTTTCCGCAATTATATACATAATATATATTGCTAAAAATTCATATTATTAATTAAAAACCAATAGCATTATTTTAATCCTTGACAAAAATATGCCAAACATATTCATTTGATGACCTAAGTAAAAGAATAAATTCGATCATTCAAGGAAATTTTTGCTAAAAGATAAAGTCCATTAAATATTCGCGAGATTAAAAATAGAAGTGATGGTTAAATGGTTAAGACTCGAATTTGATTGAAATAGACGCATGCTATAATTCATAAAACATGATTATAACATAAGTGAAGACTTAAATGCAATAATAATAATAGCTCTGTATTTTTATAAAATCGGGGAAATAGAATGAATATTATTTTTTGCCACTAATAAAAATAATTTTATCGATCTTTCAAAATATGCACAAAAAAAACTGCTGCCGTATTGAACCTTTTCATTAGCTATTGTATTTTCTTTTAATAAAAGGATATAAGTAAAGAAAAAAGATTATCATAATTAGGTAACTAATAATCATTAGTGCTTTTGCAACATGAAACCGTTACCATGTTTGAGTATTCGAGTAAATGATATAATATAATAAAATTATGTGCAGAATGATAAGAGATAAATTTGAAATATTATTCGAATGAATGTAATGTTGAATGGAATAATCATTGTTGAATGAAGCAATTGAAAAAGCTAATAAACGATAACGAGCCTTATTACGCTTATAAAATATGATTCACATTTTTATTATGGCATTAATTATCAAGAGATTTAATTCTAGCACTATTTCTATTCAATCAGTGATCATTTTCCCCAACGTTTCATATAAATAATGCGTATGTCTGCTCGATGATTATAGGTTCTTTATCTTCAGCATTTCCGGATCTTATCCATTAACTTTTTATTGTCGTGGCATTATATTCTGAATGTGTTATCGTCTTATACTTTCGTGAGAAAAAAGAAAAAAGAAATAGGAAGTTTACGAGAAGAAGAGCAGATGAAAGATCTTCTCCAAGAAAAGAATTTTGATATACGTTACTGGAATCGCTTGAATGAAAAAAAAGTCAAAGTCGCGTCAAGCGCATGTCGAAAGTACGATGCGCCTGCACGAAAAAAAAGGAACAAATATTGTGCGTCGAATCGTCTTACATTTTTCGTGAACTGTAAGATTCGCGAAAGTTATTTTCAAAAGAAGAATTTATTTGCCAATTGTTATACAATGGTTTTTTTTACTACTTACTTTACTTTCTGGACTTAAGTCTGTTAAACGTACACTATGTTTTGCTTGTGAGGAACTCGAAAAACTGTTGCTGCAGTCAGAAGGTTTCCTTTTTATAGAATTAGAATTTCCCTCTCTTTTTTTATTTTAAAGTTTTTTATTTTCTTATCTCGTCTTAAATAATACATGTGGAGAATGAGTCACAAAACAATACGTGTAGTATCGTTATGTAAATGATCATTATGATGTGTTTTAATGTTAGTAGATAATCTTTATCGATATAGTAAACATATATTTAGATGTCTAATGATACATAAAGTATAAGGATAGAATTACTCAACAGGGTGCCCCGAACACAGTCAAAGATAAAATAATATAAGATATTGAGATTCAACTTACTGTAAAACATATTTTGAATTAATATAAATTTTTTTTCTGGTTGGTCAGTTAAATGCTTCAAAGTATTTGTGGGACGTTGATTGCAGTAATATACTTATGCTTTAGTTAATATACTTAATTAACTATAAATTAAGGGTGTTAATGGTTGAACTCAGTGTCAAAACTGATATAATAGTTTCAGTACATAAAAATCAGTCGAAATAAACGTATGTCCGAATGATTTCAGAGTTATGGGATGCTGCTTTTAGGAAACATGAATGTTGTAAAGTAAATGATTAATTTTCTTTATTCTGTTTAAAGCTTTATAAATTATAAGCCAAATAAATTACTATAAGGTGTTCTTATTTTTACTAGAGGTACTCTACACTAGGCAGCTGTACATCGAACAAGTTGATTTACTTGGCGTGTTGCAAAGAAATAGTCGTGGCGAATCGATGATCTGCAAGGATTCGCGTACAAATCAGACTGTTGATGAAGACGTGACGTTCACACATGTGATACCTATTACAGGACATGGCGGTATAAGACATTGCAAGAATTCTGGTTCGCAGATCTGGCTTTCCGGACAAAAAAATGGCACAGAAACAGGGAATCCAGCACGAGCATATGGGACAATAGGTGACCGGATTAATCTAATATAAAATAGTAGATCTTTCAATAAGAATACTTGAAAAGATTTTCATGCGGTATAAATTAAGATTATTGCATGTGAAAAAAGAATTTATTCTAATTTAAATTTCTATTTAAAAATGCACACTTTTATATATTTCTATATAAGATTCCCATTTTAATCAATCCAGTCAATTTTTTTCAATGTTATTAATAATATAAAAATGTTACAGATGAAAATGGAATGGTTTCAAGAGGGTATTTTGCTTATTTTCTCTAGGTGGAGGTGTCAAGAAGATCATCTTTACTTTAATTTACATACATAATCAAAATTAAAGAACTAATTTGATGCAGTCATGTTTATAATTTGATACAGTAACAAATATAATCTATATGTATGAATATATGTATGTCATCTTATTCGTAGTCATATAATTATGTCATTTCTTATAAATAGACACCATAAAATTATATATGAATATGCCTAAAGTGTAAATTTCTTATTATTGTATATTATCCATTTTTTTGTAGACAAATTGAGATCAAATTACAAAAAAACTATTTATTATGATTTAAACTTTAATGAGTTCAGCATCGACCCGTTATCTGTTATTAGTTTAACAAAATTCATCATTTTATCCATTTTACTAACTTATCTCTCTCTTGTCTTACTTGTTTTTGAACATTTCAACTAAGTACTGATAGTTTTAAATTTACATTAAATATGTTAAACATAAAGTAGATAGTTTTTTTATATGTATATAAATATGTATATAAATATGTATAAAATATGTATATAATTATATGTATATAATGGATATATACTTCTAATCTCCAGGGGCAATATAAAGTACATATGATTGGTAGGCACATTACGTTGATGGTATCTTTACTGATACCACTTTGGTGCCAATCTTATTGATGGTCGACTCTGCAAATTATTCATTTTATAAATCCAAATAGAATTCGGTTTTTTTTTTGTATTAACAGAGTTAATGCAAGACATTAAAATAATAAAGAAATGATTAATAAAGATGATTAAAAATATAACGACGCACTTTGTGTTAATAAATTTTAAATGTATAAATATATTACTTCATGATTATATCAGAGAATTAAAATATCTTTTATTTATTAGTTATTAGGCTGACAAATTCAATTCGAATGAAGAAATAAAATTATGATGTAGAGCTTTCATGATGTTGACACAAAATAATAGAATAAAGAATAAGTTAATGCATCAGTTTTTATAACATGAAATTTTATTATTAAAATAAAACAACTAACAAGAGAGGTTATGTTCTGTTCTTTACTGGTTTTGATGAAATTTGCAGGAATATTAGAGGATAGAGAAATTTAGAACAGTCGGAAGTAAAAAACTAATACAAACTACAACTTTTTACAAAATAGTTTTGTAATTATTAGAGTGATTTCAAAGAGAAGATAGTTAGATTTTTTAATTTAATTGCAAAAAAAAGATAGATTTCTAACACGTTTCTTTGAACGCGAGCACTTATAAGCTAGAAGTGAATATTTTAATCTTTTTTTTAATCATTTTTTAGAACGATCACGTTGTACGGTCCAATATTCACAAATTCTATTTTAATCCAATGTTGCGTAAACCAAAATATACAATGAAAATGTCTATTCACTTTCGAAATATATTTTATCGCAATTTTGTTTTCTTTGTTTCTTTGTATTTGCACATTGAACAGAAAGGAGTCAAACAAAGAGTAAATAATAAAATGCTGAAAAAAATAGAAGAATAGAGGACATACTAGCAGTGATCGTTGTTAATAGCGAAAAGATGAACAGTAGACAGGTCAACGACATCCACATAACGATGCAGGAAAGTCTACTGTTGTAGGAATCACGGCGTATCTTCATCGAATCAAGTAATTTTTTAACCAGTTGCTATTACCTATCTGGAATAGTAACAATTCTTAATTAAAATATGTTTTTAACAACAACAGAATGAATCTTTCTTCGTTCTTTTACTTTAATGAGATGCATTTTTCTTCTCGATGAAATTAAAATGTTACATTCTTTAAAAAGTCTTCGAATTTAAGATATAACCAGGATCAGATATGAATAATATAATGAAAGTGCAATGGGAGGTATGGCATCGATAGAGACATAATTTGCATTGCGATAAACGTGATTAACGAATGCTATTCTATTCCAGAAATCTCTATGTACTTGAAATTCTTAACTTCTCTTTGTGAATAATATTGTGAATAATCTTTGTAATATGAAATGAGAAATGGAATGGAGAAAATATGATCTTTATTTTATTCGAAACCGGCTTTTTGATATTTTTTCCGCAGCTATGCATAGACGAACACATACTGCTAAAAACACAGTAATTAAAAAAAATGACATTATTTTTATCCTTTATAAATATATGCAAAATATATTTATTCATCAGTCTAAGAGAACGAACTAGATCACGTGAGAAAAATTTTATTAAAAGATATAGTCCGTTAAAAATATTTGTGAGATTAAAAATAAAGGTAATGAGCAAATGGAATCAAAACTCGAATTTTGAAATAACGTACGTTAGTTTATAAAACATGACACTTGTACCCTAATGGACGACTTAAATGCAATAATAGTATTATAGTAGCTTTTTATTATAGTAGCATTTTTATTATACACAATCAGGAGAATAGAATAAAGATTAATTTTTTCTATTAATAAAATTAATTTTATGGATCCTTCGAAATAAGTACAACAGATTTCTGCCGTATTGAATCTTTCTATTACAATCTTTCTATTACCATTGTACTTCCTTTTAATAAAAAGATAAGTGGAAGAAGGCTATCATAGTCAGGTAACTTATCGTTTTGCAGCATGAAATCATTTTATCATTTGAATATTCGAGTAATAATTATGACACAATATAATATAAAATTATAATACAAATTATATACAGAATAATAAACTTGAAATATTATCTAAATTATAATTTGCCAATATAAATGGTTCTTATTACTATACTACTTATTTTATTTTATGGATTTTACTTAAGCCTGTATAACGTACTATGATCTGCTCATGAGGAACTTAAGAAACTATTGCTAAAGTTCGAGGCTTTTCTTTTTATAAAACTAGAGTTTCTCAAAAATTTTTTATTTTTAAGTTTTTTTATCTTATCCGAAATCAAACACGTGAATAAGTGAACAATGAGTGTGATTTGCAAATGAATGTTGCAAAACAATAAGTAATACTCTATATTATACATAAACGTTATAGCGATAATGTTAGCAAATTACTCAATAATCGCAAGTTACTCAATAATCTTATCGTTAATAAACGTATAATGTTTTAATAAAATATAA